TTTTTTTTTTTTATTAGGTAATAATCGAATCGAACTATTTATATATTCAAAATTTCTTTTTATATTTATTAGATTATATAATCACATTTTATAATTATAAATATCTTTATTTTTTTTTCTCTTAAAACAACTTTCTTTTAACACGATGAGGTATTTTTTCTCGATTTTGTTTTTATTTTAATAAATTTCTAAAATTTTTATATTATTTAAGTGATAATTGGGGACCACCACCGAAAAAAATAACTCACGATTATTATTATGATCCGTTTAAAAATATTAAACCTTACTGTGAAGCTTGTTATTCCACTGAACATTTTTATAAAGATTGTAATTTTAAGGCAAAATATTGTCTCACATGTTATTCAACAAATCACTTTTTTTAAAGATTGTTTATATAATACTTGTTCCTGGTGTAAAAAAAAACATATTGGATCATGTAGAAAAATGAAATATTGTTTTATTTGTAAAAAAAATAATCACGAAGTTATAAATTGTTTTTTTAAAAAAAAAAAATAAATAATAATAACAATGATAATAATAACAAATAATAATAATAATAATAATAATAATAATAACTTATTTCTTTTAATGATTAGAATGAGAACGTCTATTAAAACCAACTTTACCACAAATACTACATTTAATCGTTTTTTTCTTTTGTGTTCTTCCTTGTTTTCTCTTATGTCGACCAACAGAAATATGTGTACGTTTATTAAAACCCAACATTCTTACATTGTCTTTTTTACACACAGAACAACTTTTTTGATTCTTTGATGTTGTTAATAATACGTTCACTTCATTTTGTGCAAATATATTATTAACAATTAACACAAAGATAAAAAAAAATAAGACAATTTTTTTAACTTCCATTTTTTTTTTAGGAAATTTTTAAACAAACATATGATTTATATAAAAATAAATTAAATTAATTTCTAGAAATAAACGTTGCAAACACCTTTTTTGAACGATTTTTTTTTACTCTTTTTTTTGGGGTTTTCACAGATGCTTCTTTTGGTTTATGCACACTCTCATACGTTTCTCCATAACGTACATAAATCCCACCTTTATATATTTTTGTAATTTGACCATTTTTATTCAAGATCATCTTATATTGTCTGGTTTTAAAATCCCATGTATATAATCTTGGAAGATCTACTGCAACAATAAGATCATCATCTTGCGCCAAAACCCTTAAAAATAAAAATAAAATGAATACAAATATATATCTCATAATGTCGATCACCAATCTTAATACCACTAACGAGTGATTTAAATTCTATTTATAGTTTTTGTTTATTGGAATCACTTCTTCTCTTTCATCCGCGTTTTTGATTATTTTTAATTGTTTTACAAACAATTTTATTTTTCAAACATTGTTCACAAGGTTTTTCCTCATTACATTTTATTTTTTTTTGTCGACAAGACAAACATGCTGATAAAATATTTAACTTTCTCATTGTTTATATTTTATTTAAACTGTGTTTGTCTTTTATTTTTTTTTTTTTAATCGTTAAATTTTAATATTTTTATTGGTTCATCATTTAGTGAATGAAATTGCTAAATCAAGTAAATCAAAAAATCTTAAAAATTTTTTTTTATTGGTTGCTTAATTGAGTAAATTAAAAAAAGTTTTTTAAATTCAAATTCAAATCAAAATTTTTATCTAGAACCAATCAAATAAATTAATTAAAAAATATAAAAACACTGATTTTACTTTGTTCTACATAAATAAATCCATATAAAAAAAACAATAGAAGTAAAAATGCTATTCTCAGAATTTTCTCAACGACTTAACGACTTTTTTAATGAGTAAATATCATTTTATTTTTAAATTTATTATACTAATTTAATTAACTTTTTTTTTAAAAACAAATAGCATGTCTGGAGGAAATAATACTACTAAAAAACAACTTAATAAAAAAATTAATGAATTAATGACCATGATTCAAGAAATGAAAGAAAACCATTTTAACGAAATTAGTCTTTATCGAGAAACTTTCGAAACACAAAAACAAGAAATGAAAAAAAATTATACTAATGAAACCAGTCTTTACCGAGAATTGATTACAACAAAAGATAAAGAAATCATGAATCTAATGTCTATACTTGAAAAACATGAAAAAGAAATGGAACGAATTGATGAAATGAGAAAAAAACACGAATATGAATATAATGAAAGATTGATAAAATTCATAAACGTGAAAAGGAAGAAAGAGAAAGAACATATAAATGTGAAACTGATATTTTAGAACAAACTATCAATCATTTAGAACAAACTATTAATGACTTACAAAACCAACTTAGTGAAAATGTTTCTTCTAGATATTAATGAAATAATATTTGTTTTTTTTTTCTTTTAGATTTGAATAATTTCTAAAAGTTTTTTTTAATTTAATTTATTAAAACACATTATATCATCAATAATATTATTAATAAAAAATTTATTGAATATATTTTAAAACTGAATATTTAATAAATAATAATATAAATTAAAATAATATACAAATAAATAAATTACATAATAAATTATTCCTTTTTTATATCCATATTATCATCAGAATCTTCATCGTCATATTCACTATCGTTTAAATCTAAACCTGTGATACTATT